GAGCTAATATTACTCTTAAGTTATCATACTCGTACGTATAGGACGAAATTTGAGATCAAGTATTCCCAACGGCCCTGTGTACGATGAGTTGTGGCGATTTATAATATCCTCTACAGCCAAAGTTTATTATCTATCCCAGAACGCCATACACCTTCACTGTGAATACGCCAAACCCACTAGATTAAGTTAATACAGATCCAGATAGAGTCGAGATAACCGATATAGGAGTACTAATAATTCTAAGAGGTACTCACAGACAAACTAGCCTCCCAGCTTGAAGATACTGCAAGCTGTACGCCACAGACACAATAGGGACAGATTAGAGACGGTCCGCTGGCACATGAATTCTCATTCCCTACAGCTCTCGAATCTATACCTTGGTGACACCTTTTGACAAATGATCTACAATCAGAGTATCGGACCAATACTCGAACAATAAAACACCCACTAATTTGATCTAGGAAGTCACAATAGCTCATTAGCATCTGAGAGGTTGGATCGAGAGTGAAGGCATCTCTCTCTGGTGAACGAGAAGGTAAATAGGCTGAAAGCCGAGAAGGCCCCTCGGGGAACGTCGATCCAGATCGTTACAAAATATTCTTCAAGCTCATGAAATATCTAAACTCGGGCGCTAAAGCTGAACTAAGTGCGATTTCCCACACTCGAAGATATAAGCATATTTTTCTGACAATTTTTCTCCATTTCTCCAATCAAACAGTAGTTTGATCTACCTGGTGGCCACTCTGTCGCACAACCCTCACGAATTAACGGCGGATGGTATTTTTGGTCGGGGCCTTAGACAGTCAAAGTTTGACTATCTCACGCCCTCCGCCTTTCCTCGGTCATGACAACGAGGTCTGTGTGGAGCATCAGGAATGTAAGGTTGGTGAGTCGGTCTGACTCGGACCCAGCCCGCTGTCTACCGCAGCAGGAGGTATGCATTGGGCCGACTGGGTGATGAACCCGAGATTTTGGGATGATAAAATGCACCTTCAAGATACCCAAACGGTGGGCGAATCTTACACTTTTTGCACAAATTCAAAGTCGAGTTGACCGGTTGAGATCAAAAAAACTTTTACTGAAAAACTGCTAGAGTCTATTCAGGATTTTCACCTATCCGTCACCACACAACAAGGAGCCCAAGTGAACCCGTAGGAGGCCTGCTTCTCTGCGGGTCATGTTCGGTACATGTGAGGACACATGATGCGCTCGTTCACTGGTGATGGAAGAAGTCCTGTGGGTGAAACGACACTAGCTATTCTTTGCCGACATATGATATGATATTTGAAGGAGTTACTGCCGGTGAATGCATGGCATCAGGAGGTGTTGACATGGTGTTCAATTTGATTCATGTTTGTTCGGTAGTTTGGTGAGAATTCACCACTAAATTTCCCGCATGATAATAACAAGACACACACTGGGAATAACAGAAACAACGATTGAGAGGTAAATACGAAACTGTGTAACTTGCCCCCTCAGAAGGACTAGTTTTTACTAGCCTCGGAGGTGCAAGCCGCAACAGCTGATTTCACCGCCAGTCGCTGAGCCTTTTCTCTGAACTCCGGTACATCCTAAGCAAAAAATCTCTGAAAACCAGTTGAGTAATTCTAAACTCAAATGTCGTTTTCTGAATCACAATCAGTTTGACCAACCTACTGCCAACTGAGCTGAGCAATTCCAACACGCTACCGTCGGCTCGGGAATACTCTACTTAGAGAAGCTCGGGTCGACAACTACTGTATCGTACTTCGCCCTTGTGCCACATCCCCGTGTCCTTCACGAAAACTGGCGGAGTTATGAACAATTCCTTCCACTTAAGTGCGTGAGAGACGACTGGTTTCACACAGGTATCATAGACGCTCTCGCACGCGCTGAAATCATCGAGACAGAGTTGAATCTAAAAAGCATCACGAGAGATCTTCCGCTCCCCCACGAGGCTGCTTATAGATGAGGTCCGCTAATCGACGGTCCTGATGTGCTCGAGGAGTGGTATTATACAACTTACTTGCAGAAGAGGACGAACGAAATTGTGGTAGGGCAGCCAGAACGATACAGCGTTGAAAATCGGCTCGCCCACGAGGAGGAACTCAAATACGGTCCAATACATTAGGAGCTTCTGAGAATAAAACTACCGATGCCTCTACTACTATGTTGAGCAAACACTTTTCCCACCAGGAGGGTCAGAAAAGACCAACATAGCGAACGAAAGCCTGACCTAGGAAAGGCTACTCTTGAGGGAAAAACTTGCCCATTTCTTGGTGAAAAAATTACGAAAAATTGCGATTCGAATCGGACCGAATGGAAAAGCGAGCGGGAAATCCTCATGGGAAGGAACACGTTGCTAGAGTA